AACTTTCTAAGTTACTGGTTATAAGTTGGGTTAAGTGATATTTCATCTAGTACTTCTAAGGTAAGTAACCAAGTTACAGAAGTTTTTTGAAATTCCTTTGTTATAAATACAGAATATCCTAACTCCTCAAATTACTGGTATAACTGTTTACTTTTGTATATTAAATTCATCACGAAGGCTTTCAGCTTCTTTTCGATTTCCGATAATGGTCTTTCTGAGTGACCTAATCAACTCGTTAGTAATTTTGTAGCAATTCCACCAGCTTTCCCGTACAGCATCCTTATGGCCGGCCATCAGCAGCTCATTTATCCTACTCCCCATTTTCAGAGCCGCCAGTTCTTTGGTTCATTTTCGCCTTCCAGTTAATGACATTGCTCTGCGGTTCTATCTCCTCCCGTGGCCATAAATTCACCCTGCTTTGGCCATTGGATAGCCATTTCTGGTGCTGTGCGCTCCACAGCATTATGAATTGATTGCTTGCAGGTGCTGGCCCGACCACACCGACCATACAAATATCAATAACTATCTAAGCCAAATCCCCATTCCACACATGGTAAGCTATTTTTCATTTTCACTGCTCAACTCTCTCTCCCCTTTGGCGAGTACATTTTATAGATCAAATAACTACGTATACACTTTATGTGCTTTGGTTTGGTTTGGTTACTTTTTTCCCCGATTCTCTTTTTGTGCATCATCAAAACTTAGTAAATTAAAATGGTCAGCGAGGCGTTTTTTGTTTCGCTAGCATTTATTTTCAATTTGTGTGGCATGCTTTTAGGCGCTCACACCCGCTCCCTATTTTTTTCGACCCTTATCCATAGCTTCTGCTTACCATTTAGTTTTTGTTTGGCCACAATTTTGGATTGAAAGTTGGGATTTTGTTGTTTTCATTTTTGTTATTTTTGTTGTATCTCCATTCCTGCCGGCTTTGTGTTTGGAATATTGATTAAATGGAAGCGCCGCTTAGGAATGTGAGTAAAAACAATTGCAGAGGGCACAGAGGTTCATTGCATTACGGCCTGATTGCACAAATAAAAGCTCTGGCAATTGCCCTGGCAAAAGGTTAAATTCGGGCAATTTATTAACGCACACGTGTCGAACATTTGTCGAGGACCGAAAAAGGGCGAAGTGGGAGGCAATTTGTACGACTGCTAGCTCCGGTTAATTGAAACAAGCGTTCGCCGAGTTTAAAGGAGCGAAACATTAGCTTAATCATCCGCCCAACCAGAAAGGACCTTCAAATCGCTCCCATTCACGTTTACCGTTAAGCCTTGCCGCCGGAAAATTTCCGCGTTTTCCGCCCCCAAGCGTCTTGGGTGCTCCATTAAAAATGCATTTATCATTTGGCGTTTTGAAAAAGCTTCCTTCCTTTCAGGCTGTCTGGCAGAAGACTGACACCTTGTATCAGGATGCTCATCCCTTCTTCCATTCCCGAGCACTTTAAGTTGTTTGTTTTCCAGAAACCGAGCACAAATTGTATTTGTCTGCCGCCAGGATGGGAAACTTTCTCTTCTTTGCCAGCGAAATATGCTCGACTTTAGTTTTCGGGGCGAAAGTGAAAAGTGCCAGCGCCATGCAACTTGGGGCCTGTTCGAGCGCTAAACTGTTACTTCCACATGCTGAACCCGGATCAGGACTGGGATTTCAACTCTGTTTCGGGGAGAGAGCAGGGGGCAGAGGCTCCACGGCGGGGAAACAGGTCGCCAATCTGGCTCCAGCTGGCCATCGATGTTGGGCTTCAGCAAGCCAACAGCCGAGACAAAGCATTCCCAGGGTGTTCATAAAAACTAAGGCTGCTTTCCCTCTCCGCGGAGGAGAAACTAGGTCAGTTAAGCACTCGAAGAAATTCAAGAGGTCCTAATTAGCCGAAGAGGTGCTTTATAGAAAATAAAATAGACCTAAGAACAAAAAATTTAATGCAAAATATGTGTAATTATATAAAATTGGAAGGTTCTATTACCTGCTGTAATTTGTATTGCCTTTATAATTTTCTTCATATTAATTTAATTTAAATTTTAGATTAATATTTAGATTACATAAATTTGATAAAAAGGTAAATTCAATTTAATGTTTAGGTTATATCAAATCGATTTAAAGGGGTCGCTTAGTTCTCCCTGAATGTTATATAGAAATTGTTTTTAAAGCACGAAAAGTATATTTCAAAGTGTAATCACACACTCTTACCACATTGTAAAGCGTCGGAAGAGCCAGGTAAAAGTTACCACCACATTGAGAGTGAGAGTTCGAGGCTTCCCATTCATGTTTAGCCGCAATGCAGCGCCTGCATAAATTTCATTAGATTTTAGCCCTTCAGCCGCCTCCTGCCGCCTGCTCCTTGTTGCCAATGACTATAACAAATCAATTGGCCTTCAGTGCGGGTCCTCACAGGATAGAGGGAGACAGACTGTGGAATCGAGGGAATATATGTACGTGTATTGCAAATGGGCGGGTGGAAAGCATCTGAAGCACACACTCGTAAATGGCTTCCTAATGAAGTCATAAAGTGCCCGGCGCTGGCAACTAGATGTCCGCCATTAAACGCACCTTGAGCCACGGCCAAAGCCACTGCGAAGTATGCTAATAAACGTAAACCGAGCTCCATTACCAAAGGAAGTTGAGGTCATAAAAATAAAAATAACCGAGAACCGAATGATGAGTGCCGGGTGCGATTTGCAGGCGCTCCTCATCTCCAAAGGCAATTCCCGATGAGCTGATAAGCTCAAAAGCGGCGCGAGAAGTGCCAGGCTAAGTTTTCCCAGACCAACTATAAATGCAAATTTAAAGTAAATACAGAGGGAGCTCTTTGAGGTAAGGCACTTATTTAAAAACCGCTTTTCTCTAAGTAGTATTGCTACTTTAAAAATAAATAATAATACTTTTCCTTACCATCCTGATTATACTAGAAACATAATTCCTCAATTTAAAGATCTGAAAGTTCGTACAGCATACTGAAACCTAAAAATATTTTCTATTAAAAATGTGCTATTTTCTTTTTAAAAACTGTTTTTATTTAGGTAGGTATCAAAAAGAAAACATTTCTCCCATTTCTTCAAAAGGGTTTTACTTTAAATTCTCTTGGTCTAAGCTCTAATTCTGTAATGGCTCACTCCATATTTTGTAAACACTTCTATGCCAGCTAACGGAATTCGTTAAATATGTAGGCCAAGAATGCAGAAAGCCCAGTTGCTTTGGCCCAATAAACTCTGTCCTACCTTTTACAACGGAGCCCAGAGCATAAAAAGAAAAGTCTTTCAAGTGGCATTTACCATTTGGGGCGAGACACCTTTTCCACGGGGTATTTTTTTTTTTAGCGTGTGTATTTGCGGACCTGGGAATGAGAGACAAAAGAAAAGTCTGGTCAAAGGCATAATGCGAGGGGGAAACCGCGAAAACCCGACTCACTCACACACTCACAGCAGAAAACACATATTGAACATGCGAGCAAGCTTTACGTGCTGACAATGATAATGACTTTGGTCCTTGGACTGCGGAGAAAGCGGAAAATGCGGGAAAAGCGGGGAAAGTGGGCATGGAGAAATGGAACTGTCTCCGTGGGAAGTGCATCGAAAACGCTTTACACGCTAATGCACCATTATCAGAAAGCCGGAGCCCCGTAAATCTTCACTTGCATCCGAGGACTTGAAGGGCTTTAATAGATATTTATTCGAGGGGTTCATGACGGGTCCAAACATTTGCTCCACTTCCAGAACCTCGGCCATAACTTTGATAAATTGTTGGCGACACGCCCGGTGGAAAAACCCGAAAGCTTTAAGTTCAAATGCTTAAACGGAAACGGAAAAAGTGAAAAGTGAAAAGCGAAAACCGAACAGTGAGAACGGTGAACCAAAGCAAAACAAATTGTGGCGAAACAAAAACTGCAAACTACATGAACAATTTGGCATGCAATGCGAGAGGAAAACGACCCCCCAAAAAAAAGGGAAAATAGAAAACCGAGGGACAGCGTCAAGTATTTCTATTTTTTTCATTCAGCCCAGCTTGTTGCATTTTTTTGTGCGGGGTTGAGGAAGCCTTAAAAGCGAGCAGCGCTTCAAATTTATGTGCTGCGGAAGTGGTGACTTTTAGTTTTTCTCTCGGCAGGTGTCAGACATGCGAGTGGAAAGTGGAAAGTGGTAGAAATGGGCGGCAATGGGGGCAAACTGTTAAATGACAGCCGGGCCAAGAGCAGCAGCAGCTGGCAGCAGCAGCAGCCGGGGGGAAAAGTCGATTTCCCGCTTTGCCATTTTCATCCAGCCAAACTCTCATGCATTTCAATCAAATGAAGTCGCATAAAATAATGGAATGGCTGTGCAGCGAAGAGTGCTAATCGGATTGGAAACAGAGGGGGCTAATGAATATCACTCAGCCATTCAATCGGCGGAGCACTTTTAATTAACTATCGGGTATTGGGTATCAGGTTTTTCTGCAAAGAAAACACGTGTTTAACACCCCGGTCGGCACTAAGAGGTAGTTAGCTTTTATGATACTGCTCAGCAACAGCATCCAATGGGCGGGCTTAAGCCAACTCCTCCATTAGCATTGCAGTGGGTCGGTTAATGACCCGAACGCCACTCGATTGGCCATTAAATACCAATCCTAAACAAGCCATAAAGTTTATGCAGGAATAAAATTAAATTAAACGAGCCCGGACCTCTCAAGTTGTCCTAATCAAGTTGTTTGCACCCACAAAGGGTCGACGGAAGTTGGGTTTGCGTTAATGGAGAGCGTTGCATCATTCCCCTCGCATTTTTCTAGTGCTTTAGGTATCTACTTAGAAAGGGATGCCTGCGACTGACATTTTTTCTAACAGTTTTCCTTTGGAGTATAAACGTATACTGAGGAAAAAAGAAAATATTCAGATTACCAATTATAATAAAAACACAAAAAGAAAAAAATATTGAAAGTACCAATCACATAAATAACACAAGAATATCTAAAAAAGAATTGTTTCTGATACGTAAATTATATGTGCAAATAAATTGCATTTTAAAAAATAATTGTTATAATTTTGTTAAGCTTTATTGCTTAGTTTCTTATTTTTTTTATTCATTTCGTTTTTTGTCAATGCTCGATATTTTTTTCGATGTAAAAATGGTTCGCTGTGTGGTTATTTTGCCTGGCTGTTATGCAGGTAATTGCACCGCCATCGATACATCCTGCCAGGACCGCCAAGATCCTCGGGGCGGATTCGTCGCAGGAAATTGGCAGAAATTCCATTCCGCTGGAGTTGTTTGAATTTTGCATGGGCAGCTGGCGCAGAGTCATTCGTTTGGCCACGCGATGGACGGACGGTATTTATGGCCGGGCTTTCGGACAAACACGGATGAGCAAGATGCGTTGATGCGGCTTTTGGGATGGCGTCGCTAGTAATTCATTCAGCGAAAGAGCTCCATGGGCGAGCACAGGGAAGAGTGCTTCTTGTCGCGTCCCGTCTGGCAACCGAGGGGATGGAAGCGGTAGATCGGCTGTCCGCAGACCGGAGCCCGGGCGTAGTTGCAGGTCAGCTTGAACTGGGTCATGTTCCCGACCACGTAGCGTAGTCCGGCGCAGCCCACGTGCGAGTTCCCCTCGACGGCCATGACCGCAAAGTGGCGGTACGCTCTGTTGGATACGATGGACGGAGTTGGTCAAAAGTTTCGCCGCTCAAAGGAGGCCTCGCAATGCAGTTAAGGGCTAGTTTTGGAAAAAGATTCCCCGGCATGTGCAACTCACTTTTGCTTCCGCTCACTACAGGGGTACAGGTCCAGGTCGTCCGCGGTCAATTTTTCGGACTCCGACCACCAGATTTTCCCAGCAATGGAGAGCAGCTGCGGGTAGAGCTTCTCTATTAAACTTTTCTCCACCAAACGCGTCAGGTTGAAGACTATGATGTTCTGGCCAGATCTTGGGTACTTCACCGTATTGCGGCATTCGTCGTGTTTGGCCTGGCACATCCTGGCATTGAATGCAGCCACTTCTGCCAGCTCCTCGTCCCACTGCATGGCCACCATTCGAGCAGCTCTTGGTAGAGCGGCATCCTTACCACTGGCCAATAAGAACCTCCTTTCGTTGTGCATCTTTACGATCTTCTCCGCCAAGTTGGTAAAGTTCACGAAAGTAGGACCCTTGGCCGTGCAGGTGCGTTGGAAGCTCTGGCAAGGAATATCAGAAATTAACTAAAACTTGAGAACTTAAATTAAAAAAAAAAATCATTAAATAGAGATCTAAAAATAAAGTTCATAAATTCATTATAAATACAACAAAAGGAATATTATTTTTTATGAATACTTGTAAACATCCTTGACATTCGAGTACTCTACTTCCTTTTGATATCCCAATTTTGTCCTTTTACTAAGTTTTATGCTCACATTGTAGTAGCTCTCGCAGGCCACGTGCTTGTGTCCTTTGACGCACAATCTGGGTTGGCAGTAAGGACTCTGTGGCTTGGGCGTCGTTCTCATGGCCGTTCTCATTTTCGTGATTGTAGGCACAGGCTTGGTGATTACACCTCCCGGATTCACCCAAAGCTGGGTTGTGGTCCCCAGCAATCGGGAGAAAAGCGAGAGCACTACAAGTGACATCCTCATGGTAGATGGCCCGTCGAATGTCGACTGTGTCGTAAACCAATCTTTATTCTGTCTTATAAAGCCCAATGAAGCACAAAAAACAGCTGAAAGTTGTTTTTCCCAATGATGTTAACGATATCTGTTTGCGACAATCTGATGCAATTGATGATATTATTAGCACTTAACCGATATTGTCGATAAACAAACCCATTCGGTTGCAACTACTGCCCGTAAATTATCCTTTTTTAAAAAGATGCTTAACTTTTCAAATGGTCACCTAAAAATTAAATTAAATTCCTTGAGGTTTAAAGATACAAGTTTGAAGACAAAAATAAATTGTACATTTTCGGCACCGAACTAAGCTCCAATCCCATCGAAAAAGGATTAAGGGTTAAAGTTTTACATTGTTAGCCAAAAATAATGTGGCTTACATCCATATTAGCATATCCATTATTTTGCCTAATTCCACTTGTTTTTTCTTGCTGGTGGATGTAATACCAACCTCTAATTGCCACTGACATGGTAAAAGACACGGCCATAGAGCCGGGGAAAGGGACGGCGATAGCGAAAAGACAAGGACAGCTACAGGCTTTGCCACTTCCCATTGTCAGTCAGTGGGCCACAAAATTGGCCGCGAAAAGTTGTAGCAAACATTCTGTTACCAAAAATGGCTGTCATCATCGTTGTCGCGTTTAACAGCTGAGTGCCTTCGGCTTGAAGTTCACTTTCGTTGGCTTTGGCACTCAAAAAAAGGGGTAGGCTAATGGGAGATTTAAGAGGAAGATGCAAAAAAATTCTCAAATATTGTATACCCGTAAATATAAATATAAATTACTAACCTTAAATAAGTTATTGAACGAGAGCTAAGTTCCTTATAATAAAATTGTTAAATAATAATCTATAACAAGTGAATTCAAAATGTTAAGGCACACAACAAACAAATATAATAAGAAAATCTCAGTTAAATGTTTATCAAGTATACGAAACAAGTTTCTTTGGCACTAATCATTTATTCACATAGATTTTTCGCAGTGAAGCGGATGTCAATGCCATTCGCATTAGAGCACATTAAATGTTTGGGGGTAACCACACCCGCGCAGACTTTCCCAAACACATTCCCCGTCCCTCGTGTCCATAAAAGCCAGCATGAAAAGCCTAATAACTCAATATCGCTCAATTGATTGCGGGCAAAGGCGCTTTTGCCGGGTTGCCAGCTGAGTCGCCTTAGTCGCTAATTGTCTGACAACTGGGGCCCCAGTTGATTTGCGTGTAATTGGCTCGACAGTGAACTTCCCGAGAACTTACATCGGACTTAATTAGCCCGGCCAACCTTCGGCTTTAAGCCGTCGCATTTTGGCCTTCAAGTCGGAAGCTCGAATTATGCGCCATCGCCCATTCCAAGGACTCGAATTGGGAGCCACAAGCAGCGCGTGCACATGTCAAGTGGGCAACTCTGGACGTCTGTCTTGTTTAGTAGGTTGTAAATTTTAATGCAAAAGAGCCAACATTTTTTGTGATTTATCGCTTTGGGCCCGAGGCTCGTGGCTTGTGGCTCGAGGCGAACTCGGCCCGAATCCATGTGAAAAGGGCATGCATTAAACAGCAGACAAGGGCGGGCGGCCAGCCTCTGGCCGGAAGTCCTTTAGCCAGGACTCCTAGATGTGGTCGGCACGCGTGCACCTGTTGACTCCCCTTCCACTCCCCATTTCCACCCACTTTCTGTTTCTTTTGGCCACAAAGTCAGTTTGTTTTGCGGAAATTTATGGCCCCGAACGTGGCCAAAGCAAATACAATTTTTCTGCCCCGGTCCTGTCTATAATTTATTTTTAATAGAGAGACAACTTTCTTTTTCGGTCGGCCCCATAAATTTTTGTGGGCCAGCAATCAAAGGCAGCCAAAGTTGGGGATCACCTCTGGAATTATGCAAGCGTTTTGCATTTAAAATCTCATTATCGGCGGGGGGAGGCGTCTTTGTGTTTCTGGTATCTGTGCCGTTGGATATCCTGTGCCGTTGTATATCCTCCGGTATTTGGTATCTGCTATCTGGACAATACATCTGTGTGCATTTCCCCGGCTGGCGCTGTCAGAATTTTGCAATTGAATAATCAAATTGAATGGCCACAATGGTGCGTGTGTGTTCCTGTGTGTTAAAGTGTGGGCTTCGGAGTTGATTTATTGGCCAGGCCAAAGCCGCAGTCGCTCCTTGGCCATAATTCACAAGGAGCTACTTGGACCACAAATATTTGCTAATGAAATCGGGCGGGGGCTGCGCAGCAGGCACTTTCTGCTGAGGTTTCTGTGGCAGAGGAAATGTTGGAAAGCGTGTCAAAGGATTGCCAGCCATCAATATGCGCATAAAGTTCAATATTTCTGCACTCCGCAATGCCCCGCCGAATCCCGCTAACAATAATCCCTAATTTTATGCAAATCTCGTCAAAGTACTCGGCTCTCTCTTTTCAATGCCCCGCGTTTCCCACAACTCAACAGCTTAGCTGCGAAAATCCTCTGCCCGAGACTTTTCCGGGTGGCAGTTGGTTGGGTTGTTGGGTGGTTGGTGTTGGTGGTTGGGGTAGAAACTTTTTAAGCGCCAGCGTAGAAAACTTGTCCGTGTCTTGCATGCGAAGGGAAATGTGTCAGGCGGAAAGTCCCCTTCTTTTCGCCCGAAATCGTAAACATAAAAACAAAATCCAGCGCATTGCGCCTCCTTATCGCCCCGCCCGTCAACCCAATTTAAGTTAATTAAGTTGTTACACTTCTGATCTAACACACAAATCGCAAAACGAAACCAATGTCTGTCTGGGGACTTTCACTTCTCTCTCGGCCATCGAAGGCCGTAAACCACTTTCCGAGGACAAAGCCGAAACTAGAACCGATTCATTTGCATTGCGTCAACTCATAAAAAGTAAATGTCCTGCCCAAAACGACGAACTCGTGATGACCTTTATTGAAAGTGCAAAATTCTCTAAATAATTCATGAGATGTTTGCGGAATGAGTTATTCTTTTACCTGTGTTTCCACCGAACTAATGCAAAACAATGTGCAAAGTAGCAAATTATATATTCACGGTAAACTTATTGACATGAATTATTTGCACGTTGGCACGTTATACTACAATTTTTTTATTAAAAAAAAAAAAAAAGAAAAAGAATTTCCATAACTATAGTTTTTGGAAAGAGAAGAGTATCATTCCTATTATAAATTAACAATTTCATTTTATTATTATTAAACTAAACACTACTTTAATATTTTTTTCTTAAGCGAATATAGAAAAAGATAATATTTATATTTGAAATGTATAAATTCATTAAGTGCTTTTTTTCTACTTTTTATTATTAACGGATTTAGTTCATTAAAAACTGTAAGAATTTTAAGTTAATAATAAGAATTTAAAGATACATTTTAAATAAGCATTTTTAAGCTAGCAGAAACCTTTAAATTTAGCTTTTTACAAAATGTGGCAAACCGCTAAAAATATGGAATAAACTCTTTGCGAAAAAGCGTCGGGATCGCCGCATCCCGTCCACCCCTAGGGCATAATTATGCCAACTTTTTATTATGTAGAAACGTGTGACTGTATGACCATACAAGTTTTTTAATTCTTTCGAGTCCGCGCATTTTTTAAAGCCGCGCAAAAATATGCAAAATGTGTGTGCACGTTTATAGTTTCTTTTTGCAGGCAGCCAAGTTGCGATGGTGTTCGTGAGCATTGTGTTCCCACATAAATTTTAGGCAAACACTGGCAAAACATACACACACATGCACACACGCGCTCTGGTTTATTTGGGTGAAGGCCATGAGCAAAACGTAAAAATAGAAAATAAAAAGCGAAAAACCCAAAGGCAGCCACCACAACGGGCAAATCTCAGAATTAAATGCAATTTAGTGCAGCAAAGTGGCAACCCGCAACAACACAAAACAAACTGACACAATCACATTTGGTTGCACTGGTTGTGCAAAAATGTCGAAAAATGGGAGAAAGTTCTCCTCCACTCGAATCCTGACTGAAATACGCATTCAAAATTACCCAATTCATTCCTGATTTCTGGCATAACATGTCAATTTGTACATGGCAAAGGTCGCTGGGAAAAAAAGGCAAAGGGGTAGAAAACGTTGCGAAGGCTCGAGAGTTTCAGCCAAACTTCGAGCGACAAGTAAACAAAATGCCCCAGCTTAGACGCCACTTACGAATGCCATTAGGCCTGGTTGCAAAACTAAGGGGAAACGCAGGAAAAAAAAAAAAAAAAACATGAATAAAAAAGGACCAGCAATATCGAATCCAGTGCGAAGGCAAATGTGCTGTAAGCCGGCGGATTTCAAAACCAATGCTGAATTTCTGAACACGGCATTTGATGTTGTTTCCACATTTGAATGTTAAGTGGCCGCTTTGTCAAGGCTCAGTCCCTGGGATTTTGTGAACCCTTCCTGTCTGAGTAATCCTTCTCCATCCGTCTTCGTCTCTATCTCTCAGTAGCAATCACAGGCGGCGGGAAAATCCGGAGAGGGGAGTACAAATTGAAAATGCAAATCTTTGGCACAGCTCAAAAGTGCAAAACAAACAGCCAACTGGTCGGGCAGCAAATACGGGCAGAAATCCAGAAGAAATATTTAAGTCGAGCTGAAAGTGCATAAATTGTTGCGTACTTTGCAGCACCGTAATAATTGCAAAGCGCTTGTAAGCACCTGGCTAAAAGTTCTTGGCAAGAGTTTTCGCCCCTGCTGATGAGCTGTGCAAATTGTTAGCCCAGCTTGGGCGCTAATTGGCTAAATAAGACGTCTTTATATTAGTTGCTTAGCTTGAGGGGATATTGCGTATACGCCATGGGGTGAAAAGTGAGTGGTGAACAGTAGCTAATGATTAGAAAAATGGCTTTGAACACATTCATGTTATTTTAATTACATTTTCTTCATCCGGATTATCCTAGAATCGAATATATATTTTTGTTGCAAGTGTCTGGATTAAATTTAAATGTCTTGCGAACATAGAATTTACATCTTTTATTTATTTGTTTTTATAATCTTAATCTGAGACTC